ATAGAATAATAAGAAAATATTATAACCTTTATATTATAATAATAAGGTAAAAGGACCCCCAATGGAAATAAGTCACTCTGTCTGACTTTTTTTGGTTAATCCTAGGTTCTCTACACAATAGCTGCTATGTATGATAATTCAATGTAACTGTATTGTGTATACCTGAATAAATTTACTTACTTACTTACTTACTTCATAGACAAGTAGGAATTTGGGACACCTAGGTTGCAAAAAATGCCCCCCTTCGATACCAAACCCCCTGTAAATAACCACAAGTTGCTCTGACCTTTTAATTAAATGAAATATATATACACCAGGAATACTGGAAAATATAAAAAATTTGTGGATTTGTATATTAAAAATAATAAAGGGGTTATATATATACACAATTACATAACAGAAGGAAAATAATTTTAAAATATCACTCACCAATTTGACTGAAGATTAATGTGTATCAACTCAGAAAACCTCACTCTAACAAAAATCTATGAAAATAAATGCTGGCCAGAATTACACACAAATCTAGAGAGCTTATCTGAGGTTCCTGGATCTGCCCTTGTCCAGTCATCGATATCTCAAGTTATGCAGGAATGCATGTCCAACAATTTCCCTCCTATTTGAGAGGGTCAGCCCAATTTTTAACCTCTAGAGCACGAAAAATTCTTCCCATTACACCAACGTTTGTACAAAATTCAAAACCAAGATGGCGAGTCCCCCCTGCCCAATGAAGGCTTTCTTTTTTTCTATGACAAATATTATTAAATACAGTATAGGCCATCTATTTACATAATAAATACTGAATTTCTGGAAAATAAATACAGTATTTTCCACACTGCGGCCGCCGGAGTTCGTTGCTAAACGATTCAAATTACTCCTTCCTTTAGGACGATTCCAGCCAGTTCTGGCTTGAGTAGCTTTTTCTCCTAGTAGGCCCTTCCTACGATTTCATCTTCCGGCATCACTTGGTCTGCGTTATCTTCCATATCACTCGTGTCACTTTCCCTCAGATTTTCATTTACGTTTGATTGAACACCTAATTCCAAGGGAATCAATTTATTAATTGTGCATAAATTTTCCTGGCCACAACACAACACTTTGACATTCCTGACAACACCTTGTGCTCTGGGTAAAAATTCAATATTACTCTGCCCAGAGGCCACAATGTTCGATGTTGTTCAGTGTCAATTAACACAACTCACCTGGTTAATGGTCTGTCGATTTACTGCCTCTGTCGCACCATAAAATGTTCATGTATGTAAAAAAGATATTCCTTATGCCACACATTAGACAATGATCAATTATTTTATTTAACATTTTAAATTTATTTCACAACACTGCCGCATCATTGTAATCTTCTCACTTTCTTCCGGATTAAATCTCTATAGACAGGGCAGCTTCCAATTTCCTTCCGCATATTAGGAGGTGTTAATACATCTCTTCAGGTGTATCACTCATGTACGAGAGAGGCCTATTATTATACGATTTCTGCCTTTCCACTAACCTGAAAGGGAAAATTTTTCCAAATCAATTCTCTTCCGGTGTAGTACTTTGCTGAGAAAAACCTCTTCACTGTGCCTATCAGTCTTTCGTACAGCCCCCCCCTGCCAAGGGGCTCTAGGAGTAATAAATTTCCAGGTCACACCTCGCTGGGTTAACAGAGATTGAACATCGTTACTAATTATTTAATTCTATCAAGTGTTGAGAAACCCTGCAAAAAATTTGTGGCATTATACCGAAATCAATCAACCTCGGACAGAATTTTCCTAGCTGCAAATTTTCGAAACAGCTGTATAAACTATTCTGCAGACAAGCCTGTGCCACTTCTAAAGGGAACTGCCCTAGTACAGTACAGGTGAACAAACAAACATACACTTCATTGAACACCATTTGATGTACCTGTTTAAAATTATTGGACCACTATATCACACCTGTTACATCAAATGGTTTCACTAATTGTACACGCTCCTTTGGGAATGGTGTAGGACCTGGGGACATATAGGATCTGGGATCCACACGGCGACATATTACACAAGATTTAAAACACCCTTTTTACACTTTGCCGTCCTGTGGAATCCAGAAAGTTTCCCTAATACAAATTTAAGGTATCTTGTACCCCACCATTGCATTACATTTTATGGGCATTTAGAACAATCAAATTTGTTAGATGATGAGTTTTTGGGGCAGTAAGATAGGGGGTTTACATAATCACCCAATTCAGCATTTTGTAACCTACCTCTGCACCTAATTACATTGTTTTTCTAAAACAGCCTCAATTTTCTCTATTATAGAACCTTTCACAATTTTTCTTTCCATCACAATTTAATCTCATTTCCATAGATTTCCTCCTGTACCCTCTTTACCAATATTCAAGAGGATGTGAAAACTTATATGAAATTTCACCTTGTTTTAAAAAATTTAAAACACCAATTTAGTTACATTGATTAGTTGGGTAAAGAAAATACCTATTTACATCAATGGCTAAGGAAGACAAACTATTGGAGCGGTGGTCACAGTAAATTTCAACAGGAACAATATAACGCCTTTTGTACAGGCCAATTAGCTTTTATTACCAACCAGCTCAGTCCTTTAAACCATGATACAGCAATTACAAATTTAGCATAAGGTAAACCTCGAGACAAGAAACCAGCTGGATTCTCCTCACCAGGTAATGATTAAATGTTAACATATGTTGACCCAAACAAATTATACTTCTCTTGCATCTGATTAATTTCAAACGACTCTGTTTTGTACGTACACAATTTTAACTGTTTCCATTACGAATCCATTGTAAAGATACCTCATTACAGACCAAATTACAGTGTCGCTAATATTTATCTCCTGCAACTTATTTCTTATATAATTAGCTAATTTGACACCTACATAAATGGCTTTAATTCCAACGAGGGGAAAAGTACGTGATTTAATTGGGGACACTTTAGCCTTAGACATAACAAGAGAAATAACACTATTACATTGAAGGAAGGGAACTGCTCCATTATGGCCAATTTTGATGCATCACAAAAAATGTGGATACATTTTTTCCATTTGGATTTGGGCCCCCTGGCGTGGGAACTCCAACATTGAAATTTTTCTCATAATCACCAATTAATTCATCCCACCTGTTAAAGAATCCCCAGGTAGAATTTCATCCCAAACACATTTAAGTTTCCATGCTTCCTGAATTAATAATTTCCCTCTTATAGTAAAGGGTGACAAATAAACCTAGTGGATCAAAACAATTTGGGAAAATTCAGCAAGCAAAACCTCTTAGTTAATTCCCTTGGGGATACTGTAATTATTAGGTTTAAAAATTAACAAATCTCTCTCAGTATCCCAAGTTAAACCCAATACATTACTACATTTTGGCACTTCATCTCCAGGGTGATCTTTACTTATTTTGTCCTTTAATTTGGACGAATTACCATTCCATTCCCCCAGAGGCATATTTGCACTTTGCATTATTTTATTAGCCTCTCCATAAGTTATTAACAGTTCCTCTTCAGTTGACGTCACACCCAGGAAATTGTCCACATAAAATTGTTTGCTCATTACTTTACTCAATGGACTTCCCATACGTTTAAGGTGTGCATTTATCGTCGCTTGAAGTAGGAACGAATTGGATGTAGCACCAAATAATACGCTCCTAAAGCGAAAGGTTTTCAGAGGGCTAAGTGGGTCAATAGGATTCTCAGGCCATAAGAAGCGGTTACAATCCCGGTCAGCCTCTTGTAAACCCACTCTTAGGAAAGCTTTACTTCTGTCAGCCATAAAGGCATAATTTTTCATCATGAAATTTAATAAGATATCTCTAATTTTTCAGTCAACGATGGACCTGTCATCAAGCAGTCATTTAAACTAGGTACATTTTTGTTACTCCTGGCACTACAATTAAACACAATCCTCAAAGGAGTGGTCTTAGAATCCTTCTTCACTCCGTGATGTGGCAAATAGTGACCATAAATTTTGGCTGCTCAGGAGGTACCTCTTCTATAAATTTATTAATTAACTGCTCAGCAATTATATCATTATAGGCAGTTAACAATTCTGGTGTCTTACTCAGTTCGCGGAGCTGAGCCTTTAACTGCCCATATGCCATTCTGTAATTAGTGGGCAATTCTGGATGGTTCAGTCTCGACGGAAGTCGTACCCAGTATTGTCCAGATTCAAATTTTACATCTCTCAGGTATTGTTCTTGAGTAAAAGAATCGTCTGGACTTTCTTCATTTACATTTATTCCAATGCTGTCTAATTCTTTCTTTATATTTAGTGTTTTGATAGTTATAGGACAGCCAAGAATAATTCTCAGGGCTTTATTCTTTTCGGGTGTGTCAGTGGTTGTACAATTTTGCAGGACTAAAACTGGTGCATGGTAAGGTATCAACAATCTTATGTATGCTAAGTACATATTTTTTGTTAATTATTATTTTGCGAGTGAATTATCTGAATTATTAACTGCAAGTAATTTGGGCAAGATAAGTGGGACTTAAGTCACAGGAGGTCGCAGGACTGTAACTCCCTCGATGCCCTCTTCCTACCACTCTCACAAAAAGCTAGACCTGACATTAAATTAATAATTACAATATTAAAACCAGCTACTCTGGTAAATTAAAATTGTGGACTGTATATGATTAGGCTTGCTGGGTACACAAAAGAAACTTGTATTGCCACTTACCATTTAAGTACTGTAGATGGATCACACCACAACACCTGCCTGACACCTTGGCCCTACACTGGCCAGTTAGAGATCTAAATGAAAGGACTAATGATGCAGTTCCCTGTGAGTAATGGCTGTATCCCTCATCTTCTGCCATCTACACATAATTTTTGAGGTCCCGCAAATTTCCTGCCCTAATTCTTCAATAGGGGACATTAACACGGGTTCCTATTACAAATTCAGGCTGAAAAAGCCCAATTTGCCCACGATAGGTTATGATAGGTTCTCTACACATATGCTGTTATGTATGATAATCTATGTAACTGTATTTGTGTATCCTGAATAAACTTGCTTAGTCATGTTCCTTCCACTTTGGACGAGGTTTGTTCCCCGGTGCCAGGGTTCATTACGGCGTCAACCGTCAGTGGCCCTATACACCCCAGCAACAACAAGATGGTACAGTTACACAAATACAGTTACATAGATTATCATACATAACAGCACATGTGTAGAGAACCAATGATAACCCAGTAGGATATAGGTAATAATAGCATAGTATATAAATCTGCAGTATAACCATATAGTTTTGATTTAAATTTATTTCCAGAACTCTTGATATGCTTTACTGTTACTTTATTTTATTTTTTTTTTTTTTTAATTTTGATCTTGTTTATGACTAGTGATTTTCTCTTTCGTGGTTCTGAATATTGTTAATTAATTTTGTGTACTAGCTTAAGTCTTGCCCAAAACTGACTATGAGCTATGTAAAAATGTTACTATGTATTTATACCTGGGTTATGTGGATTATGTTGGAAACAGAGATTTATATTAGATGAAAGTGAAGTCTCACTCTCCCTCAATCAGAATTCAGAATTTAATTAAATTTGAATAACGTAGAAAATAACTTCACTTATATACAGTATAGAAGTTCAAAGTTTTGTAAATTTTAGACATCCCTATCAGTGCATTATTCTGAACATAATACTACTAGTATTATTGTACAGCCTTACTATGATGGAATGATGACTGAATAAACACCTCCCACAGTTGCCCTGCTTGATTTTATTAAATAAATTTTCTTATATGTTTAATTTATTTGTTCATTGTACAGTATTTAGGAAAGAGAAAAGTCCTTTGTGGTCTCAAATAAAAGACAGACTGTTATAGTCTCTTTTTCACTTGAATTTATTTTATAAAGATTTTGCAAGTAGTACTGTACTTTAATGTGTGCTGTTAGCAGGTGATGGAGAAGTATGACACAGATACGATGCCTCAGCATCAGCAGTGGACATGGCAACAGTTGTCCCCACAAAACCTTGACCATCGAGTTCAAATTCCAACTGCTATCACACTGCACCGCTTAGTGCCCAAAACTCCAACCACGGCTGCAGCATCTAAGCATAAACTCAGAGTAAGGATAATTTATGATGTGGGCACTGTATTTAGGTGTACAGTTGAACCTTGGCTATTACTATCCATATGTATCCATTCTTTACCACTTGTAGAGTAGATGACCTATACTTGATCTTCGTATATGGCTGAGGTCCCTCCACCCAGGACCCATGTGCACTGGCATGCTTTACATGTGGCCAGTTTTGAGGACTCTTCAGTCCCCCCATCCTTCCTCAGTCTCCCCCATCCTGCAACCAGGCCTAAGGCCAGGCTTCCCTGCTAACTGCCTGGTCAACCAGGTTGTTTGTGCTAGTGATCTGCTGGCCCACTTAGCCATCTGATCCAGCACTTTTAGAAAGAAGTTGTTCAGATTCATGAGGCCTTCTACAGTGGAACCCCGAATATTGGCCACTGCGGGTATCGGCCAAATCGTATTTAGGCCGGTTTTTGGGTCAAAATTTTGCTCTGTGTTTTAGCCGGTGCCTTGTAAGTCGGCTGTATTAGATGTGTCAGCCTGCCTCCCGCCAGGACGCTGTGCGTAGGTGAGTCAGTCTCTCTGTGTCCCTTGGTGCGTGAGAATATACTCCGCGCATTCATCCAAACATTTCTTTAAAACCCATTGGTTTTTTGTGCTTGTTTATTAAGTGCAACTGTGAAATAAGCCACCAGGGGCCCAAAGAAAGTTCAGAGTGCCAGCCCTTTGGTAAAGAGAGAAACATGATAGAATTGAGGAAAGAAATTGTAGAAAAATATGAGAGTGGTGTGCATGTGCTCCAGCTTGCCAAGATGTATGGCAAAAACAAATCGACAATCACTTCTATCCTGGCAAAGAAAGAACAAATCAAGGAAGCTGATACGGCAAAAGGGGTAAACATGTTAATGAAAAAGACATCGCAAACAATGGAAGATGTGGAGAAGTTGTTGTTGTTATGGATCAGCAAAAAACAGTTAGCGGGAGACAGTGTTTCAGAAATGATCATTTGTGAAAAGGCAAGGCAGTTGCATGCAGATCTTGTAAAGAAAATGTCTCGAACTAGTGCTGATGTTAGTGAATTTAAGGCCAGCAGAGGCTGGTTTGACAGATTTAAGAAGCATAGTGGCATATACAGTGTTGTAAGGCATGGTGAGGCTGCAAGTTCAGACAAACATGCAGCTGAAAAATTTGTGCAGGAATTCAAAGGGTACATAGAGACTGAAGGATTCCACTCAAGGATTGCCACTCAAGTGCCTGGTAATAGACGATGCTCCTGCTCATTCTCCCCAAACTTGGTAGACCAATTGTCTAGGGGTTTCAGTTTTATAACAGTGAAGTTCTTGCCTTCTAACACCACTCCTCTCATCAGCCCAAGGACCACCAGGTCATTTCTAACTTGAAAAAAACTACACAAAAGCAGTGTTTCAAAGGTGGTTTGAAGTGATCTTGGACACTGAATTGACCCTAAGAGAGTTCTGGAGGAATCACTTAAATATCTACAACTGCATAAGCTTTGTAGGTAAGGTTTGGCAGGGAGTGACTTCCAGGACTTTGAACAATTCTTAGAGAAAATTGTGGCCAGAATGTGTCCTCCAGAAGGATTTTGAAGGGTTTCAGACTGACCCTGAGGACCCTATGCCTGTTGTGGAATCTATTGTGTCTTTGGGGAAGTTCATGGGGTTGGATGTAAGTGGCAAGGATGTGGAAGAGTTGGTGGAGGACCACAGGGAAGAGCTAACCACTGAAGAGCTGCAACATCTTCAACTGGAACAGCAGCAGACCACAGCTGAGGAACTTGCTTCAGAGGAGGAAGAGAGAGGGAAGGAGGTGCCTTCTTCAGAGATTAAGGAGATTTGTGCAGTGTGGAGTAGGGTGCAAGCTTTTGCTAAAAAATATCACCCTGACCAAGCTGAAACAAGCCATATCTGCAACATGTTCAGTGACAAAATCTTGGCCCACTTCAGGCAAATCTTGAAGAGGCACCAGAAACGGACCTCTCTGGACAGTTTTTTTGTGCGACAAGGTCCAGTGACACTCAAGCTGGTCCTAGTGCCATTATTTTATTTATTTATTTATTTATTTAATGTCTTTGCTAACAGTACATTGAGATTGTGTATATACAATAGTGGGTTGCAATGCAAAGAGAGCCTCTATTATGCCTAGGCATTATGGGCCAACTTAACATTATTAGCTTACATTCTACTTAATACTAAGGAGTATTATATCATAGTTGTACAGTAGGAAAGTAATTATTTCATAGTTGTACAGTAGAATATTAATTATAAATGAATGAAAATTTGTATAATACAAAGATAAACGTACGTATTTATATTCTAAAATGCTTTTGTGAAAAACAATGATTCAATTATATTCCTGTCAACAATGGATAAAAGGTTCAATGTGATTGTTTTCAGTTATGATGTGGGAGTACATAGGTGAGTAAGTGTGTACTGAGTATTTAGCATTTAGTCTAGGGTGATTAAGTGGCTTTTGAGAAGAGTCTTAAATTGATTTTCAGACTGGGTTACTTTAATATCTTCTGGTAATGAATTCCATATTTTGGGGCCCTTTATGTGCATAGAGTTTTTACACAGTGTGATATGGACACGAGGTATATCAAAAAGAGATCTGTGTCTTGTGTTGTGGTCGTGTGTCCTGTTTAGGTTGGTGAGGAAAAGTTTGAGTGGGGGGTTTATATTTGCATGTATTGTTCTGTGTATGTAGTAGGCACATGAATAAGTATGGATGTTCTTAATGGTAAGTAGATTCAGACTTTTGAAAATTGGTGGAGTATGCTGGCAGGAGTGGGAATTTGTTATCATTCTTATTGCTGCAAAGAATGGAAGTAACCCCAGATAGAGCTTTGATACCTGAAGTCATTATGGAGGGGGATTTCCCTTCCAAACAATAACCTCTCCTCCTCCCTCTCCCCTCCTCCTCCCTCTCCCCTCCTCCTCCCTCTCCCCTCCTCCTCCTCCTCTCCCCTCCTCCCTGTCTTACATACACCAACAAGTCTTCAATACAGGTATGTAATACTGATTTAAATGTTCATTTATATATAATTGTCATTGTTTTGTGTATGTAAAACTATAGTTAAACTTTACAAAATGTATTTTTTATTATTTTTGGGTGTCTGGAACAGATTAATTGTCTTTACATTAATGCCTATGGGAAATATTGCTTCAAATTTAGGCCTTTCAGATTTAGGCTGACCTTCTGGAATGGATTACGGCTGATATTCAGGGTTCCACTGTATCTTCTTCTGGTAGTATTTCTGATATCTGCTGGTAGTGCAGGATGTTGAAAGTTTTTGGCCACTGATTTTGACAATATTCTCTAATAGTACCCATGGCATCCCTGCTCTTCACTAGGTTAATTCTGCACTTTATCTTACATCTTTAATTCCATTTGCTTGTTATAGAAGTGTGCAGGTTAGAGACCAGTCCCTCAAATTCCTTCCATGTATATATTATTAGGATTCTTTTTTTTTCTTCTTCTTCATTCCAGAGAGAACAATCCAAGTGGTATGAGGCATTCCCAGTAGGTTAGGTGTTTTATTGATTTTGTTCAGATGGTATATGACTTATATATATTTTCCAGCTCTCTCCTGATTTGAAAGGCATTGTGAGTGCAGAGGAGTATTCAAGTCATGGGAGTGCAAGTAACTCAAAAAGTACCATCATTGGCATTGCTTCTCTTGTTTTGAAAGCTATTAATTTACTGTCATTTTTCTGGCCATTTCTTCATCTGCCTTAGTGTTTTCTAGATGACAATTATTTACATTGTATGATATGATCTGCCTGCTACTATGCTCATTTTCAGGCCTTCATTCCTCTATACTTAAGCAGTTTAAATTTATCATCTTTAAACATCATGTTACAGTGGAACCTCTACTTGCGAGTGCATCCACGTACGAGTTTTTCCAAATACGAGCAGTTGATGGGTTGATTTTTTGCATCCATGTGCTAGGAAAACTTTCATAAGCGAACAGACCTCAAGGGAGGTTCCTTGACGCTGGTGAGGGGCTCTTGCTCTTCATCTAGGGAATTGTATCTCATTTGTTTGTTGGACTATCTTATTGAAACTTGGGCAATGTATGATGGAAAGATGCTTCTTAACGTACACCAAAAATGAAAAAAATTGGAGCATAAACAATGGAGTTCACTTCTCAGCAATTAGCCACCCCTTAGTGGTATTTTCGTATGGTTTTTATGGTTGTATTCTCGTTTTTTGGGCCTCATTTGATAAATGGAAGATATTTTACAGAAATAGATATGATTTTGATTGCCTTCACGATGAAAAGTACCTTGAAATTGAGCTCAGCGAGGAAGAAATGCTCGTTTGCTTGACTATGTTCAAGAGTAAACAAATGACATCATTGTCCTTTCTAGTATGCAGTCGTATTTATACAATTACTGTTGCAATAAGGCATAACAGTAAATTTTTTGTGTGAATAAAAATTACAAATTATTTATATTGTAATAATAATAATAATAATAATAATATGTATAATAATAATAATACATATAATAATACTATAATAATACTATAATAATATAATACAGTATAATAATAATAATAATAATAATAATAATGATATAATACGTATAATAAAAATACATATATAATAATGTACTACATATTAATTATAATAATAGCTTCAAAAGGCCGTCACTAGATGGCAGTGTTTACCACAACAAAGAGGGAGCGGTTGTGGCCGCCTCCACCTGTTACATAATGACATATTTTATTCATTCTAGAGTATATATCAGGTTTCTATGTTATTTATATAGTTTATTATTTCATATTAGATGAACTGTGATAGATAAATAAGCCGTAGAGTTGATGATAGCGAAATATTCAAGGAGTACGGTATTTTGTCCTGTCTCCAGACAAACTCTCATTGGCCGCCGCCACACTCATAATGACATATTTTATTCATTCTAGAGTATATGTTATTTATATTGTTTGTTATGTCATATTAGATGTTTTGTGATAGATAAATAAGCCGTATAGATGATATTAGCGAAATTATTCAAGAAGTATTTTGTCCTGTCTCCAGACAAACTGTTGTCCACCACCGACACCGCCCATACCACTACATGAATTACGTATTTTATTCATTTTAGAGTATATATCAGGTTTATGTGTTATTTATAGTGTTTATGTCATATTAGATCAAGTGAGGTAGATAAATAATCCGTAAAGTTGATATTAGCAAAATTATTGAAGTACAGAATTCCACTGGAATGGATTAATTGCATTTCAGTTAATTTAAATGAGAAGAATTGTGTCTGCAAATGAGCAAATCCAGTTGCGAGCAAGTTCATGGAATGGATTAAACTCACAAGCAGAGGTTCCACTGTATTTTCATTTGCTTGTTGGAAGACACTGATATCTGTTTAGTAATATTTTTCCTTCTGCTGAGGTTACTTTCATACTTTGGTATTTTCTACAAAAGATGATGCAAAGATATGGTTAGTGTACTCGTCTGTCTGCTGTGAGGATGAGAAATAGTAATTGTGTGAAGACCATGCCTTGGGCTACTGAACATTTTACTTTGCTGAAACTAGAATTTGTTTTGTTTACTACCAGTCTTTGTTGTCTGTTTATCAAAAATTTGAGCATCTATGTATAGTTTTGTATTATTAGTTTTATTCATAGATTAAGTCTGCTTGACATGCTATGCATAACTATGGGCTTTACCTTGTAAGAAATATACATTGTTAACCTACTATTGTAACTCTAATGTATCTTCTCAGGAAATAAAAGTTATCATTATTATTATTATTAAAGAATGACAAACACATTTCTGGGAGTGGTTCAATGAACTATGTAAAGTGCCTCATTTCCTTGTCAGTTGCCCCTAGCCTTGTGTGATGAGTAGTAATTCAGCTTGCTCTTGGGAAAGTATAATAGGGAGGATCATTCTGGTAAATTATGTTTTCCAGAAGTGTTTTATCAGAACCAACTCCCAGAAATATTCTACTGTATATACTTGACATTGAAATAGCATTATCTACTGTATATGTTCATTGAATAGATAAAAACTGAAATACAGTAGGGCCCCACTTATACGGTGGGTTAGGTTCCAGGCTGTCGCCGAAAAGCAGATATCGCCGGAAGGCAGAATGCCATTTTTTTTCCATGTATAAATGCACATAAATGCCAGACAACAAGTTTACACTAAATTATATTAAGTTAGTAATAGAACTAGGCATTAAAAACGCACAAAGTAAAATACATTCACAGTACATTCATTACTTATCTTAAAGTATTTGTAATCTTAATGTAGGGAGAGAGGTGAGTAGCACTTATTTGTAGGAAGTCAGGTGCAGGTAGCCCAGGTGTAGGTAGCCTTGGCTCCCTGTCTCATACTTAATATACGATTTTTAAAACATCCCAGAGAGGTAAAATACACATACAGTACACTCATTATTTACCTTAAAATATGTGTAGTCTTAATATAGGAAGAGAGGTGAGTAGTATTTATTTGTAGGAAGTCAGTGTAGGTAGCCAGTAGGTGTAGCCTGCCTGGGCTACACCTACTGGCTACCTACACTGTGGCCCAGAGCCATATTATTAACATCGACATACCTTGTTCACTGAATTTAATCATTTCTAACAACTACCTTTAGATGCCATCATAAACGAAGGGAGAAGTAATGAATAATTCATGCCGAAAATTGTAAACAAAAGCGAAGTGGGGGAGTGGCTGGGCCAAACACAGATTCATACACGTTTTCTCTGATGGCTGAGCAGAGAAAACGTAATGTTGTCCCTCCACCCGGCTACCACACAGCTCTACAAGTATTATTATCAGAGCACATATAAAATATGCAATAAATGCCAAACAACAAGTTTACACTAACTTCTATTAAGTTAGCAATATTATTATTATTATAATCAAGGGGGAAGCGCTAAACCCATAGGATTATACAGCGCCTGGGGGGGGGGATGTGGAAGGCATTCAGGCTTAATTCTGGGAACTGGAGCACAGATCCAATTCCCTAAATCAAGAGCCCCTCACCAACATCAAAGTTAGCAATAGAAATAGGCATTAAAAACACAATAAAAGGTAAGATACACACAGAGTACACTTATTACTTACCTTAAAAATATTAATATTAATGTGTGAGAAGTGAGTGGCAGGGTGTTTATTAAATAAAATCAGAATGGCACACCATCATCCTCTAACTTGGCACCTAAAGCAAGGGGCTTACAACTTCTCTTTTTATCACAGCTAACCTTAGACACCATCGTCAATGAGAGCCAACTAGTTAACGAAAGAGTAAACGAGAGAGAGAATGAGATACAGAGTTGAGACAATGTAAGAACACAAACTGAACAGGTAGTGGGCGATCACTTGGTCAGGCAAAATAAATGTGTATTAATATGTGTCTACTTTTAGTTCATTCACGTCCATTTGTAAGAGTTTGTAAAACATTTGCCTCAATATTTTTTTATTTTAATAATAATTACCTCACAATGCATATACTTTTATATTGTGTACAAGTTGTACAAGTTAGTACAGAATAAACAAACAGCAACACACCATTTTTAGAGTGAATGAAGATAATAATAATAATAATAATAATAATAATAATAATAATATTATTATTATAATAATAAAAAGCACTAAACCCACAAGGGTTGTGAATTGCTATATATAGAGTAAAGGCATATGAAAAGAATATTTTAATACAGTTATCCTCCAGTTTGACTAGAGAAAACATAATTCTTCTGACACTACCTACACAGCCGCTTTGTAAACAAATCTCATATTTACGTCAATTTTTATTTTGTGAGTGTATGTATCATGTTTATATGCTATGTAATGGGTTTCATATATAATTTTGAGGAAAATATCATAGATGGATTAATAAAACTGCCTATAATAATGTAAAATAAGACATTTAGTGTGCCCAAGAGTGATTATTATTACGTAGTATTGGCGTCATGAGTAGAGAGAGACTTAGCGATTTTAATGTGTACCTGCACACCAGCACAATGTGTAAGTATATTTAGGTACAGGTACACATAAGTATAATTATCAGAGTACATATAAAATACATAGTAGCTTTAAAACACTTGAAATTTTGGAAAATTTCCTGACATAATAGATGTGGTCAGGGACAATGTAAACAAACCGGGTGGGGGCGCCATATTTGAAAGACCGCTTGCCGTATAGCAAATTTTGGTCATAATTTGACATCGTCATATTAGCAGAACGCCATAAGGCGAAACGCCGTAAAGCGGGGCCCTACTGTATTTATGTTGTATACAGTAAATTTAATTTAGTTGAAAAAGTATTTTTTTTTCAGGGCCACATACTCAAGAAAAATTTATTGTCTTGTATTCACTGAAAGATTTTGAATAATTTTCAACTTTAATATATTTTTGTGTTGATGTTTTGTTTTGCTTTCAGCACTTTAAACCTGAAGAAGTCTTGAAAGCTCAGCTGAAAGCCAAATACAAGTTACTGGAAGCCAGGCTGGGGCAGGAAAACCCTGCACCTCCTCCTTCAAGTTATCAACAAGACACACAAGATCAAACACTAAGTACAGCCCCCACAGGAAGAGAAAATTTACCACCAGAACAATGTGAGCGCAGTGCTGATGTCTTCACAAGGTTAAGCAAAACTGGAGATAAGAAATCCACCAAACACCTGGAAACTACAAAGAAAGCTGGGGCAGTAAAACCTTCATCCCTTCACCGAGGGATTGGAGAGTCCAGTCTTCGTATTCGTCAAGTTACACGACTGGTTGCTCAGATATCTAATAGTGTGAAAGAATTAGAAAGTCTTCAAAAGCAAATTCATACACAAAGAAATTTTATAACACCGTATGATAATGAATTAAAGAAAAGACGCTGGGAAGAATTTCTTCATTCTGCTGGGCGTTCATTATTTTCCTTGAAACGAGAGGTTAGAAATTATTTCTTAACTTTTTCATATACAGTGGAACCTCTACTTAAGAGTTTAATCCTTTCCGTGACCTTGCTTGCATCTTGATTTGCTCGTTTGTTGAGTCAATTTTCCTCATGTAAATGAATTAAAATGGAATTAATCCGTCCCAGTGGCATTCCAGGCACAACAAAATACTCCTTCAATATTTTGCCAATATCAACCCTACAACTTATTTATCTATCTAAATTTATCTAATATGACATAATAAACAATATAAATAACACAGAAACCTGATATATACTCTAGAATGAATAAAACACAGTGGACCCTCGGTTTTCGTGTTTATTCCATTCCAGAGCCATCAGCCAAAACTAAAATTGGCCAAAACCAAAACCATTTTCCCCCTTAGAAATAATGTAAATGAAATTAATCCTTTCCAGACACCCAGAAGTATAAGTAAGTAATTTATACACAATACACCTACCATCTGACTTATGACCGAGTTTGGTTCCGAGAAACCAGTCGTAAGTCGAAATGGTCGTAAGTCGAACTTTACTACTGAATATCAACAAAACATTTTTGTAATGACTTTATTTTATTGTTTTATTTTGGTATTTCATGTTTTACTTTACTTTTTATGCTGTTAGTACTGTATTTTATACTGTAAGGTTTAGGATAAACACTGTGTACAACAAAAAATAGTTGTTTATTTTCCAGAAATTTGGCATAAAAAACACGGTTCTAAGTCGAGTGGTCGTAAGTCAAGCAGGTCGTAAGTCGGATGGTAGGTGTACAGTTACATAGAATTATCATACATAGCAGCATATGTGTAGAGAACCTAGGATAACCCAAAAAAAGTCAGACAGAGTGGGCTTATTTCCATTGGGGTCCTTTTACCTTATTACTATAATATAGAGGTTATAATATTTTATTATTATTCTACAATGAAGATAACATCTTATTATCATACTAAAAAGACTATCTACTACACGAGGGTCATTAAGACTATCTACAATACGAGGGTCATTACTAGGAATAAGGTAAAATTTACACGTATGTTAGCTAAAAAATAGAAAATCATTCCCCTCCCTTTCTGTAGCAACAAAAAAAATTTTTTTTTTACATTAACCCTTAAACGGTCCAAACAGATCGACGTTCAGATTCGTAGTGCTCCAACAGTAGATCTACTTTTTTTTTGCATATTTTCAAATATAACAAAAAAAAAAGTAGATAAAAGTTTTTTACACGTTTTCAAATGTAAAACAAAATGAATATCTACAATTTTTTACATACTTTCAGATGTTGAAAAATGTATATATACGTTTGGACCATTTAAGGGTTAAAGATAGTTACATGGACAAAAGAATGAACATTAAAACCACCCTTGGGTCAATCAAGTCCAAATTTTAGAAAAGAACCTTTGAAACATTGCTTTGGTGTACAGTTTTTTGAAGTTTGCAATGATCTGCTGGCCCAAGGGCTGGATGAGAGGAGTGGTGTTAGGAGGCAAGAACTTCACTGTTACAAACTGAATTCTTATACAATTGGTCTTCCAAGTCTGGAGGATGAGCAGGAGCATTGTCCATTAACAGGAGGCACTGGAGTGGCAATTTATTATCCAGGATGTATTTCTTCACACTCGGGCCAAACACTTCATTGAACCATTCCAGGAAAATTTCCCTCATGACCCATGCCCTACTGTTAGACTTCCACATCACACACAATTTACTTTTGACAACACTGTTTTTCTTGAACACACTGGGATTTTCAGAGTGATACACCAGTAAAGGCTTCACTTAGAAATCCCCACTAGCATTACCACACAACAAGAGAGTTAGCCTGTCTTTCATAGGTTTGAGTCCTGGGAGTGCCTTTCCCTCCTGCGTAATGTAGGTCCTTTTTGCTATTTTCTTCCAAAACAGGCCTGTTTCACCACAAGTGAACACTTGTTGGGGTAGGAATTTTTCAGCTTCTACATAACATTTGAATTCTGCACAAATTTTTCAGCTGCTTGTTTGAACTGGCACCTCACCATGCCTTACAACACTGTGTAAGCTACTTCACTTCTTGAATTTTTCAAACCAGCCTTTGCTGGCCTTGAATTCACCTACATCAGCACTTGTTTTCAGGCAGTTTTTTTATGAGATCGTCAGCAACTGCCTTGCCCTTTTCACAAATTATAGACTGCACAGCACTATCTCCTGCAAACTCTTTCTGTCTGATCCACACCAACAACAATTTCTCCACTCAATTGTTTGGATCTCTGTTTGGTTATCGCATTCACCCCCTTTCACAACATCAGCTTCCATGATTTCTTTTCTCTTTGCCACAATGGAGCTGATTGTTGATGGCGACTTCCTGTGCATCCTGCCGAGTTCAGCAATGTGTATGCCACTATCATATTTTCTTAGGATTTCTTTTTTCAGTTCTATGGTGTTCCTCACTTTCTTTACCGAAGCACTGGCACTAGAGCTTTCTTTGGGGCCATGGTTGCTTATTTAGCAGTCACAATAAACAAGTAGCAAAAACAATGGATTACGTATTACGAAATGTTTTGTATGACCTGGCAGGATATGTTCACTCACTGAGAAACAACACTACACTGGCTGAGAATGGTGTAGGAGGCAGCTTTGTCTGCGTGCTGGACAGGTTCCGTATGATCAATGAAAACAGAGGTAATCAACGAAAACGGAACCAAGAAACTGACGAAAAAAGTCGGCAAAAACCGAAATTGGCAATAACGGAGATCAACGAGAACAGAGGATCCACTATAATGTCATTATGTGACAGGTGGAGGATGTCAAGAATGGCAGCCTAACCGTGCCTTATCACACTGTGTATGCCACTATGATTCTTAACCCTTTGACTGTCGCAGGCCCCTTTCTGAAACTGTCATTCTATGTCGCCAAATATTCGAAAAAGAAAAATTATTTTTTCTTATGAAAATGTTAGGAATATTTTTCTGAGTGTTTTAAGCCTAAAAAATTTTTTTGCCATCAGTACTTACCGAGATATAGAGCTGCAAAGTTTGCAGAAAGTTGACGTGCGTACGGCAACAGTGGCACTGCCGCCCACGCCGTATTCTTTTATTTACTCTAATTCAAAGGTTTCTTGCATTTTTCAATATTTTCCTTTTCCAAGTAACTTATGTGGCCTGTGAGACCAATGTAAGGTGCATTGTTCAAATATACACTCATTGTTTACAACACAATAACAGAACAAACTTTATCACTATTAGTTTGTGTATACACTTTGTTTGCACAAACAAACAATACAAAACAATGTTTATTACTATTGTTCCATAATATATAAACATATGTCCAGTCACTAAACATGTTCCTAGAACTGCTGCAGCTTGTGGAACTCTTTGAAACATGGGTATATGCAGAGGGGCACTTGACACTCCTCACAATAAAACGAGTGTACTCTGCGTGTTTGTGGGCGTTTTGTGGTATGTGTACATACATAACACCTCTTCTGAGCATTTTTCTTGGCAGTAGTAGGAGGCAGTTGTATGGGGTAGTGATCACCAGGCCTGAAACGAGATGACGTGTGTTGGTAATTTCGTGGGCGCTGGTCTATTGCAGGTGTTGCTCCTTGGTACTTTGCGATTATTTGTCTGATTACTGACAAGCAAAATTCACCATATTTTGGTGTTTTGTTGGTCTTCAACTTGTATATGTTATAAGCATTTAGCATAGAGATATCAACAAGATGGAAAAAAAGTTTTATATACCACTTATAACTCTTGCGTACACTGTCTGCAAACCCAATCTGCACGTCACATTTGTCCATTAAGCGCATATTGAGGTTGTAGTCCATGACAGCTGCAGGCTTTAGAATGGGTTCATTGGTCTCTCTGTTGTGCCTGCCACTGTGTGCCATTTTGTTTCGGTGAACTGATGTCAACAATGTGACATCACGTTTGTCATGCCACCGAAATGCCATGATGTCATTGGCAGCCAAGGCTTGCACCTCACCTCTGCAAGTGCCAGCGTCGAACCTTGGCATATGTTTACGATTACCATGCACTGTGCCACACACGTCTGTCAAGTTCACTCGCAAGAAATCACTGAGTAAGGGGCTTGTGTACCAGTTATCAGTAAATAACATATGCCCCTTACCAAGATATGGTTCCATCATTGTTTGAACCACATCACCAAAGATACCCAATAACTTCATGGTATCTCTCAAAGTATTACTGCAAGTGTACACAATGATATCCAAAACTAGACCACTTCTGCAATCACACAGTACAAATAGCTTTATACCAAAGCATTTCCTCTTGCTTGGTATATATTGCTTGAATGAGAGTCTTCCTTTGAATAAAATCAAAGACTCATCAATAACAAGCTTCCTGAAGGGATAAAAATACATGCAGCACTTTTGTTTCAGGTACATAAACATATTTCTGATCTTATATAAACACATTTTCTGATCTTATTCATACCCATCGTAACAATATCGTCATCTTCACTATCAGGTCGTGGTGTAGGGCCACGGAATGTGCTCCCAGAGTTTCTCCTTCCCCTTGGAATAACATATGAAACACTACCAGACCGCATGCTACGTCGTACATACTGCCACTTCACTGGGGAATATTCACCCTCACTGTCACTAGAACTGCTTTCAATGACCTTGAAATCACTATCACTATCACATTCACTGCTAACATCTGGGTGTTGTACACGGCCAAATAGTTTCCTCTTTCGTCCTGGTACAGGCGAACGTGAACGTGAACAAGCCGGCCCAGAACCAAAGGTGGAAGGTTGTGGGTCATTTGGGTTTTCATCACTAATTACGTTATCCTGGGCACTTTTTCCGGTAACACTCACTTCAAAACCCTGGAATTCACTGTCACTGACATTTTCATCGCTGTTAGAGCTATCACTTGGGAACAAAAGACCTCCAATCCGCCAAGGAGTGAGGAACTTCTTACTGAGAGGCATGGTGAAAATGGACTAACAAGATGGCGTTCCCACAATGCACCGCTGGGTCCCAAGATTTTTTTCACATGA